TCCTCCCTGTCTTTAAGCCAGGTCTAATGGAAAGGATCTTGTAGTGAGCAATTTCTCAGAATGGTCTTAGACACACCCACTTCTCATGAGTTGGCTGGCTGTTTGTGTGACAACACATTCCACATTAACCTAACAACTTTTAGTGATGCAACTGTTGTAGATTAAGCTCCTGAGATAGCAGGTTTTGGAAAGATTAAGGGTGGAGAAAGACAAATGGAGTTGCATCATGAACTTCTACTCATGCACTTCTGGGTGACTGGACCAGTTGTCACCTGACCCTCTGGGCAGGAAGGGGGAAATATATCAAGTTGGCAAAGTTTGGGCACCTTATGTCTTTACTAGAAGACTTCTCTAGGAATGAATGTCTTCAGGCTGGTATTCACTGCCTAGTCACCTTATTGCCTTGGCATTGCATGGCCTTTTGATCTTCTTCCCTGTGCCATCTCCTACTCTAAGCTCAGCCCTGTCTTAGTTATTCATCAAAAGACCCCATATAACTCTACAAGTACCTACTATGTGTCAGCACTGTGCTAGACACTGTGGTTGCTAAGACAAACATCTATGACACCATCATAGAATGTCTGATACTATGGCCATCTATGATACTATTGTCAGTATCTATGGAAGTCATGAGGTCTCACATACAGTATCTGCACCCCAAGGACTCTTTCTGTACTAGAGAAGATTGCCCTGGGAACATTCTCAGTTCAACTTAATAAGTGCTGCAATCATCATATGATAAATGTTATTCAATCTCAGATGAGAAGAATGACCAGTTTTCCCTGGGGAAGCTGAGAAAGGCTTCAGAGAAAAGATGAAGGGCAAAAAGATGATGTTATGTGGAGGAAATAGCACGTGCAACATTGGGAAAGCCTAAAATGGCATTTATCTGAATCCCTCTGCAAACTTCCAGGAAAGGTAACCAGAGGCCACACAGCTGGTAATGGAAGAGCTAAAGCCAGAACCTAGTCTCCTCATACCCAGGCTGTTGGCCTTTTCACTGCCTATTCTTGGAACCATTCCCATTGGGAAGAAGCCTCTTTTAGGTAAACGCAAATCTGGCAAATGATATGCCCATGTTTTATTCCTAAATACCAGTTTCTCTTCGTGTTCCATAATATATCTTTGATGATACAAAGTTTGAAATTACAATGTAAACTTTAAACATTGCACCAAATCTTGAGTCAGATTGACTATTAGAACACTTGTTTTTCAAAAAATGGGGGAAGGATTCCCTATTTAATAAACGGTGCTGGGAAAATTGGCTAGCCATAAGTAGAAAGCTGAAACTGGATCCTTTCCTTACTCCTTATATGAAAATTAATTCAAGATGGATTAGAGATATAAATGTTAGACCTAATGCCATAAAAACCCTAGAAGAAAACCTAGGTAATACTATTCAGGACATAGGCATGGGCAAGGACTTCATGTCTAAAACACCAAAAGCAACAGCAACAAAAGCCAAAATTGACAAATGGGATCTAATTAAACTAAAGAGCTTCTGCACAGCAAAAGAAACTACCATCAGAGTGAACAGGCAACCTACAGAATGGGAGAAAATTTTTGCAATCTACTCATCTGACAAAGGGCTAATATCCAGAACCTACAAAGAACTCAAACAAATTTACAAGAATAAAAAAAAAACAAACAACCCCATCAAAAATTGGGCAAGGGATATGAACAGACATTTCTCAAAAGAAGACAGTCATACAGCCAACAGACACATGAAAAAATGCTCATCATCACTGGCCATCAGAGAAATGCAAATCAAAACCACAATGAGATACCATCTCACACCAGTTAGAATGGCAATCATTAAAAAGTCAGGAAACAACAGGTGCTGGAGAGGATGCAGAGAAATAGGAACACTCTTACACTGTTGGTGGGATTGTAAATGAGTTCAATCATTGTGGAAAACAGTATGGCGATTCCTCAAGAATCTAGAACTAGAAATACCATATGACCCAGCCATCTCATTACTGGGTATATACCCAAAGGATTATAAATCATGCTGCTATAAAGACACATGCACACGTATGTTTATTGCGGCACTATTCACAATAGCAAAGACTTGGAATCAACCCAAATGTCCATCAATGACAGACTGGATTAAGAAAATGTGGCACATATACACCATGGAATACTATGCAGCCATAAAAAAGAATGAGTTTGTGTCCTTTGTAGGGACACGGATGCAGCTGGAAACCATCATTCTCAGCAAACTATCGCAAGAACAGAAAATCAAACACCGCATGTTCTCACTCATAGGTGGGAATTGAACAATGAGATCACTTGGACACGGGAAGGGGAACATCACACACTGGGGCCTATTATGGGGAGGGGGGAAGGGAGGAGGGATGGCATTGGGCGTTATAACTAATGTAAATGATGAGTTGATGGGTCCTGACGAGTTGATGTGATGGGTGCAGCACACCAACATGGCACATGTATACATATGTAACAAACCTGCACATTGTGCACATATACCCTGGAACTTAAAGTATAATTAAAAAAAAAAAAAAAAAAAACAGAAAAAAACACTTGTTTTTGTTGTTGTTGTTGTTTGTTTTTTGTTTTTTGTTTTGTTTTGTTTTTTTGAGATGGAGTCTTACTCTGTCACCCAGGGTGGAGTGCAGTGGGGCAATCTCGGCTCACTGTAACCTCCGCCTCCCGGGTTCAAGTGATTCTCCTGCCTCAGCCTCCTGAGTAGCTGGGGTTACAGGCATGCACTACCATGCCAGGCTAATTTTTTTTATACATATATTTTTAATAGAAATGGGGTTTCACCATGTTGGCCAGGTTGGTCTTGAACTCCTGACCTTAGGTAATCCACCTGCCTCGGCCTCCCAAAATGCTGGGATTACAAGCGTGGGCCACCGCACCTGGCCTAGAACGCTTGTTTTACTATGTCTTCTAATAACTTTGGGGATAAATAAATTCTGGTTTGAAAAGCAAGGCCCCTCAGTGTGACCTCTCATGAACGGCAAAGATCAAGAAGTGTCCTCTTCAACATGAAATGCAATAGAAATCTTAGAACTGACCATTCAGTACCTTCTCACTATTTTAGCACAGTAAGAAAACTAATTTACCAATTTAAATACATTCTTATATCATACTCTGTATATTAAACTATGTTGATCCTTGGGCAAAAGGAAGTATGTTTATAGCGGCCCTAAACATGATAACAATACTCCTGTAACTTAAATCCGAGCAACAGCTCCTATGTTCTATGTGTGTAAATTACAGCATCTCTCCACTTGTACATTTTTCCGTTCTGTCAGTTATATCATTTAGAAAGCATTGCTCAATAAAAACAGGAGGCAAGACGCATGTGTAATATTAAATTTTCTAATAACCACATTTAATAAGGAAAAAAACGGTAAAATCAATTTAATTATACATTTTCTTTAACACAGTATGTCAGACTATTGCCATTTAAATGTGTAATCACTATAAAAAATATCGGGCTGGGTGCAGTGGCTCACACCTGTAATCCCAGCACTTTGGGAGGCCAAGGCGGGTGGATTGCCTGAGCTCAGGAGTTCGAGACCAGCCTGGGCAACACGGTGAAACCCCATCTCTACTAAAATACAAAAAATTAGCCGGGCGTAGGGGCATGCGCCTGTAGTCCCAGCTACTCGGGAGGCTGAGGCAGGAGAATTGATTGAATCCGGGAGGCCGAGGCTGCAGTGAGTCGAGATCACACCACTGCACTCCAGCCTGGGCTACAGAGCGAGACTCTATCTCAAAAAAAAAAAAAGTACTATTTTACATTCTTTTTGTCATCATACTATGGCTTCAGAAAATGACACATATTTTATATTTACAGCATATCTTAATAAAGACATTAAATTTCCAATAATTAATATGAAATATAATGTTATCAAAAAATAAATTTGCAGTTGGTGATGTTACTTAAAATTAAATAAAACTTGAAATTCAGTTTCTCCATTGCACTAACCACATATAGCTGGTGGCTACCATATTGGACTGTGCAGACCTAGGAGTTCAAGTGATAGCAAACAGAAAATATGAGGAGCGAGCATCAACATTTGCTGTAGCAAAGCATGAGGGGATTATGTTTAAGGAGGGATCAAAGGGCAAACATATAAGTGATTGTAAAGAGGTAAAAACTACACTTTGGAGTTAAACTAGATTATCTCTGTTGCTTTTTATTGGTAACCTCTTAACTCTCAGTTTTCTTATCTGTGAAGTAAAAATACCTGCATTATTGGCTTCTAAGATTAAATGAGAGAACCTAAATAGTGGGCTTAACACAGTATCTAGTACATTCCAAAGGTTCAATAAATTATAAGATTCAATAAATTATTGGTATCTATGGAAGTCATTGAATCCGTTTTGCATTTAGGTGTGGGGAAACTCTGATGGGGTTATAATTTAATTAATTACTTGTGAGATGTAGAGTAAAAAGAGAGAATTGTGGGTGTTTTTTGTAAATTTTATTTCACTTACGGCATGGTGAAAAGTGCACCAGTCGTAAGTATACAGCTCAATGGATCTTCACAAAGCAAACATACCTACGTAACAAATGCAGAAATAGAACATTCAGAGAATCTAAAAACCGTCTTCATGCTCCTAATAAAAATAACTACTATCCTGACTTCTAACACTGTAGATTTGTTTTGCCTGTTTGCAAACTTTACGTAAACGAAATCATACAGCCTGTACTTTTTTAGATATCTGACTTCTTTCACTCAACAACAGATTTGTGAGATTTATCCACAATGTTGTGTGGAGCAGCAGTTCGTTCTTTCTCATTGCTGTATTGAATTCCACTATACAAATACCCCACATTGTATTTTTCCATTCTACAACAGTTGAATATTTGGGCTATTTCTAGATTCGGGCAATGGCAAATCTTCCTGCTACAAGCACTCTTGTATAGGTCTTTTGGTGATGTGTATGTACTGGAATTTGAGTTTTCAATCTTGGCCTTGTTGAAAAGTGAAGGCTCACTCCTCATGTAATTTTATGTGCAGGCACCTTGGATAAGCACAAGGAGCTGGAGGACCTTGTGGCTAAGTTCCTGAATGTGGAAGCAGCTATGGTCTTTGGGATGGGATTCGCAACTAACTCAATGAATATCCCGGCATTAGTTGGAAAGGTGAGAAGTTTGTTAACATAATTGTCTTCTACTGTATTACTCCTAAGAATTGTAACTCTGAGCAGGTCCTTGTTAGAAGTATGGCTGAGATGGGCACGGTGGCTCATGCCTGTAATCCCAGCACTTTGGGAGGCCGAGGCGGGTAAATCACAAGGTCAAGAGATCAAGACCATCCTGGCCAACATGGTGAAACCCCATCTCTACTAAAAATACAAAAATTAGCTGGGCGTGGTGGCGCGCATCTATAGTCCCAGCTACTCAGGAGGCTGAGGCAGGAGAATTGCTTGAAACCAGGAAGTGGAGATTGCAATGAGCCAAGATCAGGCCACTGCATTCCAGCCTGATGACGGAGCGAGACTCCATCTCAAAAAAAAAAAAAAAGAAGAAGTATGTGTGAGAAGGTTCTTTTCTTAGGAGAAACTGACTGGAAATCGGTATTTTTGAATAAGTATGCAGCTTAGTCCAGCAAATCTTTTCATGATATTGCTGATTATATAATTGCAACCCTAGACATGGGTCAGAATTCATCTTCAAAGACAGTTTAACAAAGCAATCATAATTTTGGGCTCCTGAGTTCCCATTTGCAACTTCTCATAGCTAGTATTTATTAAGCATTTACTTGGACAAAATATTTTTCCTATGTTACTCATTTATTTTTTCATTCAATAAACCAATTCTTGAGAATCTACTATGTCCTCATATAAGGGAAGATACAAGACATACAAAGATGAACAAGACCTGTGTCTTTTAAATTTATGTACTTTAGAGTCTAACGGGGGAAAAATATACTGAACAAAGTAGGACAAATACCATAGAAAAGGCATGCCCATATTTGAGGAAGGACAAAGAGCTGCCCAAAACCCTTCCTGAGAAAGTCTGCAATGTCTGTGCAAAAATGGTGAGAGGAGAACAGAATTTTAACAGATAAATAAGTTGTATTTAGGACACGAAGCGGGAACAGCATGTGTAAAATACATAGGTTTGGAGGAACTAGAATATAGAATCGTGGTCAAAGAAAAGATCAGAAATGAAAGCAGGTGCCAAATGGCAATGAGCCATATAGTGACAATCATGCCGGCGTTTGAAATTGTTCCTCAGAAAAAAAAATGGGAAGTTGGCTGGTTCATTGCAAGTAAGCAAGTACATTAATCAAATTTATGCCTTTGAAAATGTGTCTCATCACAACTACATGCAATGTATGGTCTTAGACTGGATTTTGCAATGAACAACATCAAAGGAATGATGATGTCTATTAAGAGCTTTAAGACATCATTAGCAAAGTTGGGGAAATTTAAATTTGAACTGTCTATCAAATGATAGTGTTGTAAAAGCATTGAACTTCTTGAATGTGATCATTGAATTGTGATTTTTGTAGGAGAATGTCCTGTTCTCAGGAAAGGCGAAGTAGTAGGCTTACAAATAACTCCTAAATGTTCCACCAGAAAAATTACAAAAATGCATATATCTAGAGTACAAATATATGGGAATGTTTGTGGCTTTTGCCTCAGAAAAACTCAAAACATGGCTATGTGTGAAACTATAGAAATATAAGGGAAAATTCAAAGATTCTGGAAGGCCACAAAAGACAAAGGTTCACCATAATTTGCCTGTATTTTTGGTATGCTTAAGCAGTTTTGCAATTTAGAAATGTTTAACTTAAAAAGAAAAATAATTTTACAAAGAGTAATTTGCAAGCAGTAAGTTAGACTGATTTAATCCACATACCGCAGACTGAATTGCCATCTATACTTTTCCATATTCAAAGTTTTTGACTGTAAAACAGTGATGTTTTTGCCTACATGGGATGTTAATACAGTGGAAAACGAGAATCAGAAGTAAGAGCTTAAATTGTCCTGCACAAAAGACCCCTGCCTTTCAGTAGGAATAACTAAAACTGTTCCAAATAATCCCTCATGGAAGTGCCCCTACAAGTTCATAACCCACCCAAAAACCTACCAATCTTCCTATCGGAGATCAACACTTTAGGCTCTCCCTGGTGCTTAACAAAGATCTTGGATGAACTTCTCGACTGCAAACTCTACGTAAATGTTGCCGTGAACCTGTAATATCTTAAAACAACTCCCATCTCCATCAGCTGACTGCTATACATGATTTTATCCATATAGACACCAGGTTAAACTCTTGGCCTTTTAGAATTAAAGTGAGTTTTAGAAATTGGTGTTGCAGGTTTTAGAGTGCCTTCCTGTCCCCTCAAGTTGTTTTTCCTTGGTTTTATTTATTGGCTTGTGTTTTGTGTGCTTGCTTTCTGCACAGGGATGCCTCATTTTAAGTGATGAGTTAAACCACACATCGCTTGTGCTTGGGGCCCGACTCTCAGGTGCAACCATAAGAATCTTCAAACACAACAGTGAGTGTCAATGTATTTATTCAACATGTACTGGCTTGCTCCTAGAAGAAAGTAAAGATTATTGATGAGGCTTTGTTCTGTTTTTCAAGCTGACAACGTAGCCTCATGAAACACAATTATGTTTATATTCACTACTGGCTTGTTAACCTCTCGTGACCTGGAACAAATGGTTGAAGAGCATTAAACATCCAGATTGTTAAGTGTAACCCAAACACATTAATGTCACTGTTAGTGGTTTTGCAATGTGGCCTCTAGAGCCACGATTGATCTCTTAGGACTGCCATTTAATTATCAGAAGTGTTATAACTCTTCCCTTTCTACAACTCTGTCTTGAGGAAGTTTGGAGACTTAAGTTTTGTGTTATGGTCGGTTAAAAAATGAGCCTATTCCTTAGAAGAATGCCTCCTTTTACTTTGCGCACCCACAGATGCTCAGCTCCCCACCTAACAAAACCATCTATTCAACTTCATTGAAATGTCCTTTCAGGCTCTGGTTTGTGCGGTTGGGTGGTGAGGAGCAGGCAGAAGCCTATTTCTTTTGGAGACTTGATGAGGCAGCATGGAAATCATCAGGGAACACTTTGAAGGAGGTGGATGGTGGTGGACACCTGAGTTCTCTCGTCCAGCTATGCTCCTGACTTACTGCGTCACTTTGTATAAATCCTTTCATCAGAGATTCTTTTTTTCAGTGCCTGATTATTTTTGTTGCTCTTCCCTGAAACATCTCTTTCTTTTCCAAGAGCAGCCTACTGCTCTGCCCTACGCCAAGAAGAATGAAGTGATTATGCTCAGCTCTTTCATGTCAAACTTCTGCCAACAGTTCTCATGGCATTTCTTCACTACAACATAAACAATGAAGGAATAAATTCATCTTTAGTTCATTATGTCTTCTCTGTTTTATCTGCCTTTGAGTATTCCATCTGGTTATCCTAGTTGAGGGATTTTTCCTTGTGCCATTACCAAAATTGCAAACCAAATGATAGTGTGAAAAGAGCACTTAGGTGTCTTCACATTTGATTAATTTGCATTTATGGAGCACATTAAAGCCCTTTTACAAAACAAAAAATAAATAAATAAATGAATCCTTTCATCTTTCTTGCATTCAGTTTCCTCATCTGTAAAATGAGGTGTCAAACTCTGTGATAGTTAAGGATCCTCCTAGCTGAAGGGTTTTGATTCTAATTTGTTATTGTCGTTGGAAAATTCCCTTCTGTCTGTGCATGTGTGCATGCATGCACACACATGCACACACGTGTACACATATAAATTTGTTTTCTCTTTCTTCCTTACCACCTTTCTCTCCTGCCTTCCCTTCTCCATTTTTCCCTGTTCCTCCTTCCTAGCTCTCCCCTCCATCCACCAAGGAGGTAACAAAGTTTGAAGTGACAAGAAGAAGGTTGACAGAGAACTGAGGAAGAATTGTTTCAATTCTGTTCTGCCCACCTCGCAGCAATCTTAAACCAAAGGACAATTGTCCCATGAGGGAGGAAACAAAATGCATGGGAGTATTCTCAAGTGAACCCCCTTGTCTAACTCGTACAGTTGTTCAAATGAAAAATCTATGGCTCTCACTGAGTGGGGTGAGGTCTGGCTATGCCTTACTGAGCCATTTTCAGTAGCTATGTGAAGATGAACACTTAGAGTGAAGTTCAGGACCAGACCTTCCAGAAGAGCCAAACTGTGGCCTGCTCAGACTTATACGGTGGCTATAACATCTAGCTTAATGTCATTCAAAATACGTTGACTTCGTTTGTCCATTTCGCATCGGACACTCAATTTTGCCTTTAGACTTTGATAAGCCAAGTTAAATTCTTTCAGCTCTGCCTGAAATATCACAGATTGTCACATCTAGACTCAAATCATTTTGGCAGTGTTGGGAATTCATGTTTGGAGTAGACATCTTTCAGGGCTCCGAGTACATTTATTAAGAGAGTACAAGGAATGCCTTTGGTATTAGCTCAAGTGTGTTGTGCCCTTTGATTCTTCAACGTGACAGATGATTGCTGATCAAAGGCTCTGTCTAGTTGGCAAAGGATAAAGGGGATAGCTAGGCAGTCAGTCAACTGTAGTTCCATCTACGTATGTGGTTAAACGTGATAATCTCACTTCCAGAGAGAGACATAGTTGGATTATTATCTCTCTGGAACAGATCAACACTATCATCATCAATGTAAACCTCTTATTTCTTCACTCCATTCTACTGTGTCACTGCTCTTAACGCTAGCTGCACAATAGTGGCATCTAGGGAACATCCATAAAAGATCAATGACTGTGCCCACCTCAGATCAACTCAGTCCAAATATCTGTCATATGCATAGACAGATAAGTAAACATACATACATATATAAATGACCAACTGGGAGACTAAACGTAAGCTCCATTAATCATTAACCAAGCATTCCCTAGTCTCCAGCTTAAGGCTTTTAGGGTAGAAATCCTCCAAGATGACCGCTGCTGGGTTGGGGCCAAGACATCCGCATTTTTTTCAGAGTTCCCCAGATGATTATAATGCATGCTGAGAGATATTAAGACCTAGAATCTTCTTGTTTTGAACCTCCTTTAATCTAAGCTGTCCTGAGACCTTGCCAGTGTGCCCTGGGATATACCACCAGACAACTGTCATATTAGTTATCCTCACTCTTCCTCTCTCTACTCTTTTACATTCGTGATTGAAAGTTGGCAGAGAATGTGTTCCGAGCCAAAATTTATTAAGCATTTATTGAGCTTCTGATTCAGAAGGACTATAAAAATGATAAGGAATATCTTAGCTACCTGAGGGCTTGGAATCTAGTAGGAAAGGCAGATGTGTATGCAAGTTACTGTATAAAGTGAAATGGGCCATGATGACATCAAGTAGTGGTTAAGAGTATGGACTTTGGCTACAGCACTTTCTCACACCCACTAAAATAGCTAAAATTAAAAAGGTGACAATGCCAAATGTTAGCAAGGATGTAGAGCGACTAGAACATGCACCCATTGCCTATGGAGTGTAAAATGGTACAACTTCTTTGGAAAGTTATTTGGCAAAGTTTTATAAAGCAAAACATGCCCCTGTATATGACCCAGAAATTCTATACCTAGATATTTACCCAAAAGGAATGAAACTGTGTGTCCACTAAAAGGCTTGTACAAGAATGTTCATAGCATCTTTATTCATAATAGCCAAAATCTGGAAACAATCCAACTGTCTACCAACAGGAGAGTAGGAAAAAACTGTTACTTATTTATACAATAGAACACTACTCTACAATTAAAAAAAAGCAACAAGCTACTGCTACACATAACATGGCTGACTCTCAAGAAAAATTATTTTAATTAGTTTGAGTGAAATAAACCAGACACAAATGTGTATACATACTGTGTGAGTTCATTTACAGTCAATTCAAAAATAGACAAAACTAATCTATGATGATATAAATCTTATTAATGCTTGTCTCTGGTTTGGAGGGAGGGAATTGGTGAGAAGAGGCATAAAAGAACTGTCTGGGACGATATTTTGATGGGGTAATGGTTACGTTCTTATGTAAATTCATGGAATTGTACACTTAATATCTGTATGTGTCCCTGTAAGTAAATTTAAGCTAACAATATTATTATAATCATACAATATATACAAAATTAAAACCATTGCTCCAATATTTTGAAACAGAGTACAGGCTTTGACCCATGCATTTGTGTCCTTATCCTCTAGCTTATTAGACTGTGAGACCATGGTCCTAGACACACTACTTTACGTTCTGGATCTCAATTTTCCTATTCCAAAACTGAGGATAATTGTGATACACAAATAATACCATGGTTGGAAAAGGCATATAAGTGCTTAGCACAATGCCTGGCAATGGAAACTACTGAATTATTTGTAGTTGCTACATTATTACTATTATTACCCTCGTCATTGTCGTCAGTGCCACTAAGGGACAGTAGAAAACATTATGGAAAAATAAAGAGTCTGTTTCTCCTTGGGAACTGCATAAAATGGAGGGCATTTGCAGTAGATGCTGAAGGATTAAGATAATTCTAATCAGGAAAGAAGAAAAGATTATTTCAAGCAGAAAACTAATCTGGAGCATGCACAGAGCAGCAGGACTTTCAGCGTGACCTGAACGTGGGGCTGAACTACTAGAGCAGAGGCTGACAGATAAGACCTTGGCCAGTTAATGTACAAAAATTAAGATGTATACACAAGTTAAGAATGTATGTACTTCAAAAATCAACAAAAGGCACCTGGAATTTCCACTTCTCACCATACTGTTCCCTGAATAAACTGGTTTTTCTCAAAACATTTAGTTGCCTTCTCATATGTCTAGTAGAGATGGAAACAGAGACACAAGCTTTAAGTTAAAGCTTTGAACAGCATTGGATGAAAAAAAAATACTTAATAATTCTGAAGATCATCTGTCTCTAAAGCAGTGTTCTCTCAGAATTTCTCTATTCTCTGTTTGTTTGATTTTTTTATTGTTTTGTTTTGTTTTGTTTTTGTTTTTCCATTTGCTATTGCTTGGAAGTCATCAGTGAGGGGCAAACGGACCCTGTGTGTCTCCAGATATGATACCCTAAAAAGCCTTTGACATCATTTATATGGAATGCAGGTTAGGGCACTGAATCCTATCACTAGACAACCCCAAATTAGGAATGGTCTATTTTTAAAAAAGGAATTGTATTTTCTAAACATATCAATACTATAAGAGACAGTGAAAGGTTGAGGAAATGGCCCAGATTAAATCATATGAAAGAACAGTATCAACCAAGTGCAATGACGGGTCCTAAACTAGATTCCAAAAGAGACAGAAAATGCATAAAGGAAATTACTAGGCTGATTTGAAAAATTGGAAGATGTGTGGTAAATTAGATAATACTAGATAAGAATAGTGTATCAACATTAAAACTACTGAAGTGGATCATTTCACCATAGTCCAGGAATAGACAACCTACGACCTGTGAGCTAAGAACACTTTTACATATTTAAAGCATCGTATAAAGAACAAAGAAGACTACACAACA